CCGCAGTCCGGGCATAACCCATCTAACGCTACTCATTGCCACCCTACTCCCATGCAATCACCATTATTTGACATGCGTGATTAACCACGACCAGCGCTCATGTATCCCCATGCTATTCATTCGTGAAAACCAGGGAAGAGATAGAAGCAGAGCCATAGCAGGGAACAAGGATGACACAGGATGACTGCACTAATCGAAGTGGGATGCAACGTGGGAAGCAAGATTGCCTTCTCCTGTTTCTAAAGTCCACAGATGGGACCTGAGAGGAGTTCATGCAAGTAGCAAGCTGACAGTCAATCCTCCTGAAAAACAGGGAGAAATCAATGCCGTTCAGGGATCCTTCGGCCAAATGAAAGGATGTGTTGCGTGCGTAAATGACGTGCATTCCTGACTTGGTGGGGGAACAGGAACCGGACCGACCCTCGCCAGAATGGATATGGAGCCAGGCTCAGAACAAAAACAAGAAAATGAAACCAAAGGGAGCAAACATTGTTCAGATATCAAGTCAAGTGGCCTGTAACAGGAGGGCCCAAAACATTGCACCTCTCAACGGCAGCAACCGTCCTGAGAAAGGTGATCCACCTTCATCATCGCCAAAGAATATAGTGGCTTGACGGGGGCGGAACAGGCGGGAACAGGCTACAGAGCCCGGATGGATCTCGGCCCTTCGATACAAGCTGACCACATCCATAGTACTGGTTATGGGAGGCCTACTTGACAAAGATATGCGTAATATGAGGACAGAATGAACTCAGCCGTTAATTCAAGGGGGGGTCTATGAACTTAGTCTCTAATTCAAGGGGGACAAACAGAAATAGTGACTAAATGCTTTTAAAAAGAGAATGCATCAGTGATCACACAGATATGCATGCTAGCTCGGGCTTTTTTTATGTACACTTTTAGCCCCTTCCCTTCTGGTCTGCTTTATGCAAATTCAACCCAGGCAAGGAGTTTGGTTCGGAAGTACATCCGTTGAACAGACATCGCACGTGAAGAAAAAAAATTGCAATAGCTCCTATGCTTTTCAAGTCCAGTTTGGAGACAAACTGTACTGTGAGAGCAGGGCCCAGGGCCCAACTTTCCTTCATTGTTTCCGTATCTGAAGTCGGTTATGAAAGTTAGGGCATACTCACACTGGGACCTTTTGCTCTGAGCTGTGGATGCAATTGCAGTCAGATTCATCTGGGTCTAGCCGTAAATGCAGTCAGATACGTTTAGCAAAGTCCTTGTGTGGTGAGCATGCCCTTACTCCTGGGATAACTTGACTGTGGCAGCAAGATGGTTATGGCAACATTGCTTTCCTGTTCTTCGATACGCATTGTATTCGAGTTTTTCAAGAGAGAGCAAGATGGTTATTATGGCTATCAAGATGCAAAAGAGAGTTCACCAAGTGAGAGGAGAGTTGAAGACCTCCCACAGGGAATGCAAGCTGGGATGGGACAGCGATGCAACGGATTAGAATCAGTAGTTTTGCCCTACCATCTTCCCCCGAACATAAAGCATACACGTTGTATTCGAATATTCCGGCTGTTCAAACAGAGCGCGCACGCGTTGTATTGGAATATTCCGGCTGTTCGAATAGAACACAAATTCGAACAGAAAGCGATCTTTGTATTCCTGTACAACGCATATGCGTTATGTTCGGGGGAAGACGGTAGCGATAAAGCATTGTTAAGATGGCGATCCTTAAGGAGATGAACCAGTGGCTTGCAAGATTCGGCAGTTTGTGCATGGCTGAAAACTTGCGAAAAGCCAGCAGCGGAAAGCTATCATGCATGGGAGTACGACGGGGAACACCTCTAAGTTGGAATTGGGGCTTGCAGCAATAGCAGCGGGGCCTGCAGCAATAGCAGCTGCCTCCTCCTCAGATGACAGCTAGTGTTGGCAGGGCCAGCACATCTGGTATCGGGAGCATAGGACCTGTCCCTCCAGCTGCGAAGCACCATTGAGGGAGTGTTTTCTTCATCGCAACTCCTTTCATTCAGGAGACACACCCTTCACAGATAACTTAGACAAGAAAAAAAAAAACAGCCTGGGTGCTCAAAGCAGCAGAGGGGCTTCGTCATCCACAATCTGCTGAGACTCCGCCTCCTCCTAAGGAGAACACAGAGATGAGGAGCCTAATCTTGCAATAAATAGTGACATGATCACCAATATAAGAGGCTCAAGGAAGTAAACAAAACGTTTTTCAAAAAAGGTGAACAAAACGTTTTTCAAAAAAGGTGAAAAAAACAGTCAGCATAAAAAAAAAGACAAGAAGTTATGCAATCAGATGAGTTGATACGCACAATCAAGTTCAGAGTACTCTTGATTATCCTCCCTGGTGAATCAGGGTATACTACCTTCTTCACCGGAATACAATGTACGGTCCTTGTTGTTGTATTTAATGACCGTACGTTGTATTCGGGTGAAGAAGGTAGAGGCCCAGTAGGGCGTGATCACGGATCAGAAGCTTCACTTTTTTTGTCCTCCGCATGGAGACAGAAAAACATTGTGAACACCAAAACTTTTGGTACCTTACCTTATCTATCTCTCTTCTTGTTTCACAAGCATTGGCTGTACATTGTCTGAATTAGCGTTTAAAACGGCACACTATCTCTCTTCTTGTTTCACAAGCATTGGCTGTACATTGTCTGAATTAGCGTTTAAAACGGCACAGGTTGTCCATAAATATTAAATAATGGATTCTACACAATTTCTACTTTCTTTTTTTTTTGCCCGTTCCCTTGGCTGTCTTTTCAAAGGATGGATCGATTGGGGGACAGTTGGAATCTCGTTATTCCATTCATGCGCGTCACTAATTCGCTGACAGGCATAATGGGTTCTAGTTGTGCATCACTAATTAGTAATTACTAATTACTAATTACTAATTTCCAATTACTAATTAGATGACGAGTATAATGGATTGTAGTTGTGAGCTCTTCCTCAATGGCAGACATTCATTCTGCGACTGTCACCAGCAGTTCTCACAGGTTGTTTTGCATCTCACATTCCTTCCATCTCAGCGGCATGAGTGCTCACATGCCGGCCATATGACGTTACGAAAGGGTCCTCACAGGTTGTCTTGCATCTCACATTCCTTCCATCTCAGCGGCATGAGCGAGTACATGCCATCTCACATTCCATCTCAGGGGCATGGGTACATGCCGGCCTTATGAATTTAGGAAAGGATCTTCACAGGTTGTTTTTTTTTGCATCCCACATTCCATCTCAGCCGTTGTTTGGCATCTCACATTCCTAATTAGCTGCCAATTGAAATGCAATGCTCATCTTCTTGAACCTTTTTCATTTCAGCGGTGCGCAAGTACATGCCGCGCATGTGAACACAGGGATCTTTGCATTTCAAATTTCAAAATACTAACTTTTGTGGCAAGTGACAGAAAGGGAACTTGCATAAGAAAGATTCAAAAAACTTCAAATGAAAATAGACGGTTTGGACCTTTGCTACGTAGGGAACTTAACTTACCTTGTTGGTTTATTAACTTTATTTGGTGTCCACTGTATGGACTGGTGACAGGTCTGGCTTACAAAAGGTGTGAGACGCTTGTTATAATAATGACCCTGAAAAAACCTCCTGAAAGTTTGGGGCTCTGATAGCCGCTTCTCTTTTTGGCTTCCTTCCTCAAAATACCTTGTTAAGGACTCAGAAAGAGAGATCTTCGGACATTTCCCAGCCTATTGTTGTCCCTATTGACGCTGGTGGCAATGGTACTTCAATGGATGGCAATGGTATTCAACTCTCTGGAGTCTCTCCTGGGCCCAAAAAAGTGGGGGAAACTTCCCAAGTCCCAGACTTAAGAACAGCAAGGATGTCACAGCGGAAGGCCCCAAATAGACACAGGATTGTGCACACAGGGCAGGAAGGAAAAATAGAGATCAGACAGCGGCTGAACGACGAGACAGAGTGGTCTCTGTCAGAGTCTGTCTGTCCACTACGTGCTCGGGAGTTTGGCAAATAGTGCCGCTATCTGGGTCTGGGTTTCCGAATTCTCAACGCCTGAGAAGTGAAGTGCAACAAGCACTTGGGTTAAGTCATTGGGGTGCGATGGCCCTGGCGCAGACTCAATCTGTCATGTGACGATTGTGACCTACCGGGAGCTCTACGCCATGACTCGTGACTCGTGTCCAAGCAATGTATGCAAGCAGAGCGTCAATCACCGAGTGCAGAGCTCTGAGGATGAACGGCATGGATGCAGACTCAGTGTGGCATGCAACTGGCTTCTCTGACAGGGAAACAGCCCATTCATCAAGTGCAAGGACAACAAGGTTGCTTGGACATCAGTCATCGCATAGGTCTCCGATCGACACTGCTGCCCGCTGACTTGATGACGGACTGTTTTCATGTGAGGGAAAGCACCTGGCAGGGAAAGCAGGTCAGATGAGCCTGACAAGGAAACAGCCCTTCATCAACTTGAAGCGGAATGACAGAAATATCGAGCAGACATCTGTATCATCACGATTTATTTATGTCCGAGAAATACACTGCAAAATTGTGCATCAAAGGCTGTCTGTCGAGATCCCAGTGTGATGGCATAGATACAGATACAGTGTGCCCACGTGATTCACTTTCTCTAACAGGGAAAAGTCCGTCATCAAGCAGAATGGCGTCAAACCACACGAGTAGACCGACCGCGCAGGCAAACTTTAGAGTCAAAAAAAAAAAGAGTCATTCCGAAAAGTTAGGGGGCTTACCCCACGACGGCCCTCCGGGGGGTAGGCGGGAAACAAAAACTGTTGTCCCATGTGTGTGCCAGGGTTGGCACTGGCGTCGCGCGGGATAAATAAAAAATGTCCACCCGCCCCAGGCCCGGCCTGGGGCGAGTCCCCTAACTTTTAGGAACGACTCATTTCGGTTTTCAGAAAAATGAGGCTCCAATGTACTTGCGGTTTAATGTCAATCAGAGCTGCGATGATTCAGGTCTGCAAAATGCACAGTAGAGTGTCAGTCAGAGACCAATCACATCCCAGCCACAAGCATCAGAAAAGCAGCATTTTGTGAACAATATTAACAGCATTTATTTATATAATATAATATAATATGATCCCTGGTATGAGGCCTTTAACCGTCGTAACAGTGGCCCAAGGGAATGATGTTCAATGAACCAAACACACTCAAGGCAACGCCCCTGGCGCAATCATGCAGGTTAAGAATTTAAAGAGGTAGAAATTCCATAGAAATTCCATAGAAATTCCGAAACCTCTTATATCTGATGACAACTCCTATATCTGAGAGCTTCCTTCATGGACATTGAACTTGATCAAATTCTACCGCAGACATGAAATTTACAATGCCTAAGAACTTAGTAAAAACTTAAAAAGTCCTAAATTATTTGTCTAAATAGGAAAACAATACCAAAAAACATAGGGAGATGGACCACTCTGAAAGAAGCTGCACTGGTATGCTGGTGCAGGCCCTTTGCTGGAAGGCGAATCGGAAACATTTGGAACGCCTTTCGACTGTGCCCTGTGCCAGCATGGTCCACTTTTGGTCCATAATACTATGTATGAGGACACATACTATTACGTAAAAAATAATTAACACCCGCGTGAAGACCACAACTGAAAGCAAGCAAGCAAGCAACGAAGACCCGCAGACAACCTGGTACAAGTGCTCTCCTTACGAGGACGGCAGCATTGAACAGATCTCTCCTTTTGTGCGCACCACTACGGTAGCCTACCGGGTAGTCCCCGTTTATCACAGGACGAGTCACGCCTGAGAAAGAGAAAGCCTGCCTACACTGCCCTACAGAGTGGAGCTTTCGGGAGGGGAGAGGTTTTTGTAAACATTCATTAAGAAGAGCGCGACGTTCCGGAACAGCTTCGATACACCACCGACTGAAGAAGAAAAAAAAGCCCGTCTGTCTACACCACCCTACAGAGTGGAGCTCTCTGGAGGGGATAGTTTTTTGTAAACATTCATTAAGAAGAGCGTAAGGTTCAGGAACAGCTTCGATACACCACCAACAGTGGCGAATCTAAGTTCGGTATCCCCTACGACGTCAGGAAAATCATCTGGTTTAGAAGAATTGAAACCTCCTCTTAACCATACCATGTTCGTAAAACCTGCATCGTACAGCTCCTCAACGGCAAGCAGCGACCTGCGTTCACAAACCCAACATTCATGGAAAAGACCCTTTATCATTTGTCCATTTGGTGATTGATCCAATGAGCGAGTGAAGCACTCAGACCGTGTGCTGGCAGAGAGAGAGAGAGAGGGAGTGCTCA